AATCTTTCAAACTTACATTCACTCTCTCACAATCATTTATATTAGCTATTTTTCCCCATCTTTATTATATAACCCTTAATATTTTACTTCCAAACTTTTTCTTTTTTTTGTTACAAAATTTTATCAGATTTTGTTAAATCTTCAAAACACTCTCACATAATATTAATAAATGAATTCATGATCTATCTCACTTACATTCAGTCTCTCACTTATTTCACTATCATATCCATAATGATTATAACCCTCACTCTTCATCAATATCGCTCCCTCTCTCACCTATTTTGTATTTAGCTTTTAACGTAAAAATTACAATTGAACTTACAACAAGTTAACCAAACAAATTTATTATTAATTTTTCTCTAATTTTCACACTATCGTATCAAATATATTGGTTCACTTGACCAAGATTTTCATTAGAAAATAAATATTTAAAAAAAAAATATTATTATTTTTTAAATTACTTTAATACACACCTATTTTAAGTAAATCTGAATTACTGTATTTCAACAAAAAAAATATGATTAACTAATTATATATCCTAAAAATATCTAAATTTTTAAATAATGTGATGTCATTAGACATAGATATATCAAAATAGCATGTTTCTATTTGTACAAATTTTGTTATAATTTTGTTATCATACATTTTCAAGAATTATTATACCGCCAAAAATACTTCTCATTTATTTAAAATAATTTAATTTAAAATTTAATTTACGTTATAATTTGTATTTTCATCATTAATAAATTTAGAACTTATCATTTATATTTATCTTCCTTGCTCATTTTTTAAATATTTTATAAACACCTAAAACTAATTAGTTTACAATTATACTAATACGTAAAAAATATTTTGGTATACAAATACATATTTAAATATTTTTGGATCATCATTTTTGTTGGACAGACTAAAATGTCCAACAATAATTTGCACATATCCGTTTATATTTTAATAATTTATATAATGTAATCTATGATAATAAATTGCTTCAGTGAATAAATTATGTTAATTTTTTATATTTAAGATGTATGGTTGTTTATTTGGTAAGATAGTTAGATAAGGTAATTATATTATTACTTTCCTTTTAAAATCTTTAATTAAGTAAAAAAAAATTCAAATATCAACAACCAATCAAATTAAGAGAATTAATTCTAAAATTCACCTATGAATGACACCTAAGAAAAAATCACTAAAGTGACTTCTCATTTAATATAGTAGGATATTGAAAGGGTTTATTTGTGAAATAACCATAAAAAAAAAATAGATTCTGAGAGAGAGATATATAGGAAGATGATGGGAGAGAGAGAACGAGAATTTGATTAGTTACCTAATTTGATTTTTGTTTTTGTAGCTAGAGGGTACAATTTTCCTATATCGAAATTTTATTTTTATATCAGTATATGTTATAAACATTAACCATATTTTTAGATGAATATATATCATTTTCATTTTAAGAATGTTATAGTTTACATATTTATCACTTAAAACTCAAATTTATACCATCATTTATTATATATTTGTAAATTTTTATTATATATTTCTTCCTGTAGATTTGTGTTTGAATATTAGATGAATAAAAATACATTTAATTCAACAAATATGTAAATTATTTGTATTTAACTCATATGTTATTGAATAGTTACAGATTATAGGTAATAAGAATAAATAATTATAAATTTTAGTAATATAACTGTATTTTATTGCAATGATTTCATATTCATATACAATAGTATTTAAACACTTAGTATTATTTATTTATAAATATGTAAACTAACTATTTGATTTTATTTGTAACACAAACTAAAATATTGAATATTAACCAAATAATATTGATATATATTTTTAGTATGTTAGATTTGAAGGTATATTGTTAAAACATAAGTTTATACTATTTAATTCAAACATTTATACTATTAGGAATAGACTTGATATAAATATGAGTATATGTACGTTCCTCATTTATGTATCCTTATGTATATAGAAAATTATGAATGAATATGTTTTGAAAAGATTTCTCTTAACCATCATTCTAGGTTTTATCTAATTAATGGAATGAAATCACATGATGAATAGAATATATCTAGGGATATAAGGTATAATAATGATAAGGTTAGAGAATTTAATATAATCCTCTATTTTAGAAATAGGTTCAAAATTTTAAAAAAATCACACATGAAATTAAATGATTTTTGTTTTAATACAGAGGACTAGTCAGAATGAGTTTTAGTAAACTTTACGAAAATTTGTTGTTAACGCGCCACCGAGAAAGAACGATATGGGTTTAGGCAATTAAAACCCACATCAACAGATTGGCCCACTAATATAGTAATGGGTTCTAGTCTTCAACAAAACCCACAACATATAATACTTTATTCCTGAGCTATCCAAACAATTTTAACTTAGAAAACCTTAATACTGATTCCTGAGCTAACCAATTAGGCCGAGAATGATTTCGTCTCATTATTGGTTAGCTTAGTGGTGTCGTGTGTGTTATGGTTATGGGAATTAGATTCTAACTTCTAACTAGATCTGCCTCAACTAGCTAGGTTTTGATTCTTAAATAATTACTTTTCAGTTTACGAGAGGGGATTGGTGGATTTTAGTTTTACGTAGTATCAGAAAAAGCAAATGGACCCAAACTGTGTAGGGAACTGATTATGTGCATGCAATACATAAAATACACCACTAATACTATACATCACACATGTTTATACTGTATATTCCAAAGAAACTCATGTACTTAAGTAAACTAACAAACTCATGTGCCAAAAAGAAATCAACATTGCATGCCTGATAAAGCAGTTAGATAAATAACTCATTCGAAGAACAATTGAACTCATCAGAAAAGTGATGCTACAAGTTAGACTTTGTGTTACAACCAAACTACACCCTTATGTCCTCTTCGGTTCTCTTTCTCACGTTGACTTTAGTTTGTGGACTTCGTATAATTCCTACCGCAACCAGAAAAAATCAAAAAATAAGACAAAACTATATCGATGTTTTTTAATTTTATAGTAAATATTTCTTTACTGAAAAAAATCTTACCAAAATAGAATGGAGTTGGCTTAGAAGTGGAATAAGCAAAGAAATTAAACTTCTTATATCATCTTGAACCATTTGGGGACTCTCGTCTTTACCCGCAAGAACATTAATGAATGTATTGTTGTTTGGTACAAGCTTAAGAGCCACCTTAAGACAAAAACACAAACGCATTCCAAGAAATTGTTTAATTGGTAAAAAAATGTGTCTGGGTTTTTTTTAATCTGTTTTTCTACTCGAAAGTACTCCCTCTGTTTCAAAATAAGTGTCACTCTAAGTTCGTGCACACGGATTAAGAAAACAATTAATTTTGCATATTTTCTATATAAAAACACAATTACCCATATACCTAACCATATTTCAACCAATAAAAAAATAAATTACATAATAGAGTTAATAAATTTTGTCTTAAAAACCGAAAACGACACTTATTTTGTGACGAAAAATTTTCTCTATAACGACACTTATTATGAAACGGAGGGAGTATAATAATACCTTGAAAGCAGCACAAGAGATCCATCCATGCCAAGGTTTTAAAGTCAAATTATAACTTTCTTCTACCGCTTGTTCCATGTTTTGTGACATGTCTTTGACCAGCCGTTGCAATAATGCCAATGTAAAATCCATCGCTCTGTGATATAAAAATTTGTTGGTTCATAATTTCACATGGTCCTACCCAAACCGGTTTGGATTATATTTTAACTGCAGCAAAAATGATGCGTACCTGGTTAGCCAAAGAGCAGCTCTGCTACAGCTTTTAGGCTTCTTAGAGGATCCTTCATTGGCTTCTTTTCTCATTATCTCAACCAAATTTGAGTACACAATGGGATTAGATTCCCACATCTCCTCTAATCTCTGTATCAATTCAATAGACATAATGGGTTAAATAACCTGATAAAATCAATAATAATAAAAACGAGGATGGAGGAAGGAACGAGGTCCATTCAATCGAGAGAAAGACGATATGACCCAAATGACCCTGAATGCAAGGTAAAGATGTAGACCCCCGTCCATGTTGTCTCGAAAGAGATGAAAAGTTTTGGGCCGTCAACTAGGCATGTTCAATCTGGTGTTCGGTCCGGTTTCGGTTCGGTTTTTTTCGGTTTTCGGTTATTCGGTTTATAAAAATTAATTACTATATTGGAACCATATTTAATTTGGTTTGGTTCGGTATTTATACTATCGGTTTTTGGTTTATTCGGTATTATACCAAATAACATTATTATTTGATTTGGTTTCATATTATATGATTTTTTTTAAAAAACATATTGTCAAAACTATTATTTATTAAAATAATCCTAGGTGTTCATAAATATAAAAATCTGAAATTAACAACAAACAAAACGATCAACGATTCAGTTTTGTATAACTTTTCTTATTTTCTCTTTGTTCTTCCAAATAAATTACATGGTACAATCTAATTTCACAATTTCTTACAACATGTAAAATCAAATCAAATTTAGATAATAGTTGAAGAAAATAAAATAAAATAATTAAGATATATCTTCACAAGGTATAAAAAAAATAAAAATAAAAAGACTATTCCAAGAAAATAAATGGTTATATAATGTATGTATTTATATATTTTTTCTTTGATCGGTTTTGTTCGGTTTAATCGGTTATAAACCTAACCATATCCAAATCCTACGGTTTTTATAAAATCATATCCATTCGGTTTATATGGTATATACCAAATCCAAACTATATTGTCAATTTCGGTTCGGTTCGGTTCGGTACGGTTCGGTATCACCATATTGAACAGCCCTGCCGTCAACTCGAAACATCAATTTTTAATCATCCTAGCTTAATTACTCGTTAGAAAAATATTTTTTTAACTATATTTGCATTTTTTTAAACAAGAAAAATAATACGAGCATTGAAATGATGGTGTGTATGTGTATATATATATATATATATTGAATTGGTATTATTAGGAGTATTATATAAAAAGACAAGTTTAATTACTTGGATATTTTGATCAATGTCTTGTCGGAGAACAGCCATTGTCGGGCCAATCTTATCTGCAATCAATCAACAAAGCTTCAGGACAGCCATTGGTGGAGCTATTTATGCTTTGAATTAAGAAAATTAATCAGTACAGTGAGCTAGATTCTGAAGAGCATAACTTTTTAACAATATATTTACCCAAAAATATTGAAAAAAGTTATACAAACAAAAACTACGTAACATTTAGTAATATATTTTGAATATATACCAAGAACTTGGATGATTAATTTGCAAAATGAGAGGAGAGGCTTTAATGGTAGATTGATGATGTTGGTGGCTTCTGTTTCGGTAGTAACTATTGTGGTCTTGGCGATAGAAAGAACAGAGAGTTCTTCAATGGCGGATCCAATCTCTGTTATCTTCTTTTTCTTCGTTGCCTCTTCCATCTCACATCTCTTTCGTTTCATCTTTTGATAGTTTTTCTCTTGATTCCCGAGTATGTGCGTGTGTGTGTTGTGTGTATGCCCCTGCCAAACCAACACGAAAGAACCAGGCTATTTATCATTCCGGCTCTTGAATCATTCCTTTTTTCAATAAAAAAATTTCCGGAATAGTTGTTAATAGTAAATTTGTATGTACTAAATAAATTATCCAGATTACCAGATATCATTAATGATTTTGTTTCCAATCACGACCCACGATTAAACCTCATATCTGGTAACCCACTAACCCATATAGTATAATTTAGTTCAAATTTAAAATTCTCTAAAAAAAAACTGTAAATCCGAGAAGAATTCGCTATCAACATGCGACTCAACATTAGTTAATCCGATAAATACCATAAAAATGTGAAGGTATTTCAAAATGTGATTAGATTACAATAAGTATACATAATGCTTACAATACTATTTTATTTATGGTTAAAAATTTGATGAAAATTTACCATTTAAAGAAAATGGTGATAAAAAGTAGGGGTGGGCATTCGGCTACCCATTCGGGTTTTCGGGTTCACAAATCTTAGCCCTAGTCAGATATTTCTAAATTTCGGTTCGGGTTCAGTTCGGATCTTTTCATGTTCGGTTCGGGTTTGAATAACCCATTTAAATTATTTTTAAAATTTTAAAATTGATTATATACTTTAAATTTCTAAAAATCTATAAACAAAATAATATATTCCAAATAATTGAATAACATAAGTCAAAATACCTAAAATTAACATATAAATTGGTTGGATTTGAATATTTGGATTGTGAATCAATAATATTTTAAAGTATTTTTGATGTTTTGAGTGTACTTTAGCAATTTTAGACATGTATGTTTGACTATTTACATATATTCACAAGTCTTTTGAACAACTTCAAAATATTTTATATATATTGAATGTTTTTTATATACATTAAATCCAAAAATAACTAATATATATAGGTATATAAATTTCTTTCCTATATTTTCGGGTACCCGAAATACTTTGGTTTGGGTCGGGTTCGGTTGCAGTATTTTTTAAATACCAAAATTTTGAATCTATTCAGATATCGAATCGAATTCGGTTCTTCGGATTCAGATTTTTTGCCCAGCCCTAATAAAAAGTCAAGATTGAATAATATGATTTAATATTATTTATTTTGGTTACTGATAGCTACAAGTATTTTTCTTTCTTCTAATTTAAAATTTTAATTTTTTAATAATTTATTTATTTTTATTTTAAATCGCAATCTTGTTATGAAAAATCAGGTAGAATTCTTTGAAATAGGAAATGTCAAATTAAAAATTAAAACTAAACAAATTTCAAATATTTAGATATATATTTTGTAAATAGAGCGTAAATTAAAATTGAACCCATGTTCTTTAATAGTTAATATATATAATATATATTATTTGGTAATTTATTGACTAATGGTTCAACTACGGTTGATCAAATAAACGATAAAAGGGTCTAGTCCGATGACATTTTTTTTTTTTAAAGGGTCTAGTCCGATGACATATTGATAAAATTAGAGGCAAATATCAATATGTCCGATGACATATTGATATTTGCCTCTAATTTTTTAGATATTTTGTAAATATGTGTATGTCCCTAAATTATGTAACTATTTTTGAACAGTTGTTCTTAAAAAATATTTAAGACCCTCAAAAATCAAGATTCGGCCATGTGTTTACATTAGTATATGATTGAGTTTTCTCTTGGGGATGATGGTGTGATTAGTGATCAGTGATGGCAGTTTTCTCTTGGGGACTTAGCTATCGTTATTAGTTCATGGTTTTAATAAGATTTTTATAACTCATTTAGTTATATTGTTGTCTCCAATAGTTTTACAATTTCATCTGTTTCTTAAGAAGTATATTATCCAGAATTTGGTTAAAATGTATTATTTTCATGTTAAACAATTGTCCATTATTGTAACGAAATTTCTCATAATAATGAATATTCAAGTCATATAACTATGAATGTAAAATTATTAAAATTAACTAATTGTGTATAGTGAGAAACTAAAAGTCAGTTTTGTGTGACTTTTTTTATGTGTAAAACCAAATTTTTTTTTTTGACAATTTCTATCTTATTTTATTTAGTTTGTCTATATTTAACTAGATAACATGCCACCTTATCAATGAAACACTGCATAGATACTTTCTTTGTTTCAATTTATTTGATGATTAAAGATAATATTTTATTTGTAAAATAATTGATGTTTTCATTATACTAGATAGAATTTAATGTACTTTGAAATTTTTAACCAATTATAAAATACTTTATATTTATTTGTTAAATTAGTTTTATTTAATGATATTTTTTCTATAACTAAAAATCAATTATATATACATTTTTTAAAAAAATCAACGTCTAAAAGTTTAGGCACCTTATAAAATGAAACATAGGGGCAATAACGAATCCATTATAACTAAGCTTAAAAAAGAGTCGTTGACCAAATATATAGTTTAATGAAGCTTACTTCTAATTCTATGATGCATCTAGAACTCTGGTAGGACCTTCAGAAGTCCAAATGATAGCCTGTAGATTTTTTTTTCTTTTTTTTTTGAAACAAATGATAGCCTGTGGATAAGATAGCAAATTTATGCACAAATTTAGAGATTTCTGTATTATCAAATACAATATTCACATATACACACACTTATACACATACAGACAATTACACGTGTCAGAATGTGATTTTGTGTGTAAATGGTGAAAGTGGGGCAGTTAAGGATTTTAATTTGGGTCAAACGTCGTAGCTAGATATAAATGTTGCTATCACTAATTTAGTTTTCTTCCTATTCCCTCTGATTCATATTAAGTGTCAGAATATAAATTTTTTTGTTATAAAATAAACATCATTTCATTTTTCAATATTAATTTTATTATTTAATTTATTTTTATTGGTTGAAATATATTTAGATGTATAAATAATTATGCTTTTATATAAAAATTAGTTATTTTTTGCTCCATGTGCATACCATTAAAGTGATAGTACTTGTAATGAAACAAAAGGATTATAAGATTATCTTCATAAGTTATTTTTTAAAGAGCTTTAAGCATGTTAATTAATTTCCCTTCACCATTATTAAATAGTTTAAGTGTTTAACATAAACGGTTTTTCTAGCAAATGGGCTAAGTGGTGGATATCAGTTACTCTTTCTATTTCTAAATGTTTCATATTTATTAAGAAGTTTATTAAATTTAATTTACCAATACATTATATTTTATAATTAATTATTTCCTATACTTTTAATCAATAGAATTAAAAAAAAAACACAATTTTATTTTACAAAAATTTACAATTTATCATTAATAAATGTATTGAAAATATAAAAAATATATATTTTTGAAATCAATTTTTTTTTCTAGAATATGAATCTATTTGAAATGAGGGGATAACAAAGAAAGCTGTATATACTCACATCTCAAAGGCAAAATCCAGATAAGAACTATTAGTGGGCGATTTTTATAGAATAACATAAATGCATTTTCCAATATTAAGTATATGGTCTGCATAATTAATTTCAACTCCCTCTCATCAAATCCTGATCCATTTTGAACAATAAATTTAACATGGCTAAGCTAAGTTTTATTCCCTCCGTTTCGAAATAATTGTCATTGTAGAGAGAAAAATTTGTTTCAAAATAAGTGTCGTTTTAGAGTTTTGAGGCAAAATTTATTAGTTTTATATGATATTCTATTTTTCTATTGGTTGAAAAGTGGTTAGGTGTATAGGTAATTGTGTTTTTATCTTGAAAATATGTAAAATTAAATGTTTCCTTAATCTGTGTGTAAATCTTAGAATGATAATTAAAATAAAACGGAGGAAGTAATACATTTTAGAAGATTCTCTAATTACTTTATAGAATATGAATCTATTTGAAACAAGGGGATAACAAAGAAAGCTGTTTATACTCAAATTTCAAAGGCAAAATCCAGCTAAGAAATAACCATAAAGAGAACATGAATGTCGTCGGGTACTAACAAGTTCAACTGAACGTTCTCTTTACTAAATGAATTAATTGACGTTGTCCAGAATCTATCGAACATGCTGGTGGGTAAGGCGGTTCAACTATTAGTGGAGCGATTTTATAGAAAAACATAAATGCATTTTCCAATATTAAGTGTATAGTCTGCATAATTAAATTCAACTCCCTCTCATCAAATCCCGATCCATTTTGAACGATAAATTTAACATGGCTAAGCTCAGCACACCGTCTATGAAACTGTAAACTATTTAATCAACAAATGATTTAACCTAGTTTCAATAATTATTTGTGGTATATATTATAATTATTGTATAAGTCTTTGTCAGGTAATCATTATATGTTACAACGTACAGTATACCAAGCGGTACAGATCAAACGGTGCAGATCAAGCGACTTTGGATGGTAAAAACAGATCAAGCGGTGCAGATTAAGCGGTTCATGCAGATCAAGCAAGACAAATACATATCAAATGGGACAAGTGCAGATCAAACAGATCATGCAGAAGAGATGCAGATCAAATAATTTATTATAAATTATGAAAGACAAAACTAGTTCAAAAGTATAGATCATATATTAAAACAATAAAACTATACCGAATATCAAAATAAATATTTTAAATGTTATAGGTTCAGCCGATATGTTTACTGACTTTTTCAAAAGATGCTTGTACGTCTTCTATTTTCGTTTTAGTTGATCAAAATTATTTTTGAAGAACATGGATATAATATTAAATTCTTTGTTGATATTTATATAGAGAAATGGAGATCAAACAGATTAAATAATTTATTATAAATTATAAATGACAAAATATGTTCAAAACTATATATAATATATTAAAATAATAAAAATTACACCAAATATCAAAACAAATATTTCAGATGTTGTAGGTTCAACCGAAACGTCTGTAAAATTTTTATTAGATGCTTGTACTTCTTCTATTTATTAATTATTTTAAAATATGAAAAAAATATTAATTATTTTTTTTGCTGACATTTATGTAGAAAAAAATATATTTTTCATGAAAAATTTATATTTTTCATGAAAATATTGTGTTTTTTTTACCATTATACATCATGCTTATAATTTTAAAATGACAAATA